CTCATATGGCCCCGTTGGGGTCCTGATTTGCCCTTCTTGGGGCCATCTGGAACCCTCTTGGGGCCGTTTGGGGGTCTTGTTGTAGCCCTCCGAGGCCGTGAGAGCCCGATGAGCCCGACGAGCGAACCCCGCGAGACGCGTGAGAGCCCGACGAGCGAACCCCATGAGACCCGCGATAACCTAGCAAAACCACACGGGAATCCCGCGAGGCAGTGCTCATCCAAAAGGCAATGCCCGAGTGATGCCCTCTGCATACATGGGCGGCTGGGAAAATGTCGCCACATTCTGGATATACCTGTACACAACTGTCCTGCTACACTGGTCCGTGCATATCGTTATGTACGCCCGCCCATACATGTGTATTTCTCTATACCAGCGTACGTGGCCAAGGCCCCCCTCTGCGACCTAACGTTCTTGCAAATGTTGGAACACGCTCAGGCCCCCTCATCAGAAATTCAATATGCGTTGGGGGTCGATGGGCCTCCGGAAGCTGTCTGTGAAAAAAAAACGCCCCTTGCCAGCGCGCGCAGGGATGCCGAGGGCGACCGGCAAGGCTGAGAAACATTCGCCCGACTCACCACATGGCCCCCTGGTCGCGACGCTGGGCGGGGGCCTCCGAGTGCCTGCGGAGCAGTGCATACGGGGAAGGTTTCGGCGGGCGTTTCTGCGATTGTGTGGCCGCCTTTGGGCGCGTGCCCGCGACTGCGACCGCCCGCTGGCGGTTCGTGATCAGTTGCGGGTGCTCGTGGGCACGCGCGGAAGGTCTCTCCAACCTTTTTGGGAAGATGTGAACACGCGGGAGTTCTTTACTACTGCTTCCGCGTGCCTGTGAGCGCCCGTCGTCTCGCATGGCCGCTTGCGGGCGTCTCTCCCAGTAGCTGCGCGCTTCTGAGTCCCCTCGCGCGCCCCCGCGCGCGCTGAATGGCGTTGCTATGTTGCGAGCCGCGCAAACTGCCCCCAGCGTCAACGGAAACCCCGACCCCAGTGACAAAAATGTTTCAGAAAAAAACGCTCCTGCGACGATCCTAGACACTGGGATAGCAGACCTTGCGCCCCCCCAGCCCGCGCACTACAGGTCACTCTGACCCGGGGTTGCTCTTGCGTGCCGCCGAATTTGTTCTGCAGGCGCGTTTCCCTTGATTTGGCCCCCCAGGGGCCGCTTACGGGCCCCAGTGCCATCAACGCCGAATCTGAGTCTAAAGAATTGCCCCCTGGGGCAAGGGGCGGAGTTTCTGCGGCACGCATGAAACAGACACACATCGTCGGTTGTCTGGGTCGAATCATGTGAGATCTTTTGGTTCTCGCCAGGACCGCGAAGATAGTCGCGCTTCGCGCGTCGCAGCTTGGGTTGAGATATCCCCTTCTTCAAGAGGCCGATGCGAGGGCGCGGGGCTGCGAAGTCAGACAGTCATCGCGGGGCGCCAGAACCAATGCGAACAATATAATCTACCATTCTGGGTTCTCAGGGCGATCACCAGAGAAAAACCTTTGGCAGTCCAGCCCACTAAACTCGCCCTCTGATGCCTTCCAGTGATGGAGTCGTCCATGCGTCGTCAATCGCCCTTTCAATCTACAGCGGGCTTCAAGCAATCACCTTGCGCTCCAGGCCGCCCAGATGGGGTAGAAGTGGACGGGGTCGGTGGATTCTGCCGCATCGATGATGCCTCGGCGATTGGTCCCGATTCGGAGCCCGATGTTCTCCATCCCGACGTCGCCGACGCATCGGCGATGCGGAGCGACCTTCCGACCCCCACCCATCGGGCCCCATCTGGGTAGCCTTCAGTGGGGGCCAAAGTATAGAGAAGCCTTGGCGGGGCCACGCTCACCAGGAGATGGGCGTCCGTCCTCCGCTCTGTGCGGTCGCTCCCGGCGGCGTGCGGGAGAGAGGGGTGGCAGTAGATGGTGACGGGGGGGGCGGGTTCGGGCCGGACGAAAGGGGGGAGTGGGAAAGGGGGGGTTCGAAATCTGTTGCACGCAGCTGGTTTCGGCCCCGGGTGCCTCCCGGCGCCGGGAAGCGCCAAGAAAATCCGCCCCATGAACTGATTTTCGAACCCCCCCTTTGCTTATCCCCCCCCTTCGCCCGGTCCGAGGGGCAGCAGATGGCGAGGGGGGGACGGCGGCGGCCGAGCACGCCGCTTTTGTTACGGTGTGGTGTGAGGGGCGGTGTAGGCGGCCGGGCCTCTACAGCCTTTGACTCGGGCCACAAATCAGAGCTTGGCCTCCCCGGCTGCACCCGTTCTGCGGGCCCTCCTTGGCGATATAGGAGGCCAGGCGGACCGGACACGGAGACCGGCCACAGGTGTGGCGATTCCCGTGTCGGGGCCTCCCGGCCAGGCCGCGAGGAGGGAGCACGCCCGATCCGTCGGGCGTGTTCCTCCGTACTATCTTGTTCTCTTCCGCCCTTTCCTCCTCTCCTCGTCCTCCCTCCTCCTCCTCCTCCCACTCTGCTCTACCCTTCCCTCGCTCCTTCTGACTACGTCGTCGCTTCCTCCTCCTCGACGCAGACTCCTTTACCGTCCCCCCCTCCTCCTCCCTTACCCGTCCCTCTCCTCCTCCTCCTCCTTCTCCTTCTCCTTCTCCTTTTCCTCCTCCTCTTCGTCGTCCTCCTCCTCCTCCTCCTCCTCCTCCTAGCTGCCATCTGGGCCCAAGAGATTGTCAGGGCAGCAGACAAACGCCCACTGACATTCCACAGCATGTGGAGTCAGGAATAGCTGGACAGAGGCCCGCATGGCGGCAACGGCATGGACAGCGTCGTTGGCCCTGCTGTTATTCAACCCGCTCTCCGCGAAACCCGACAGGCAGCAGGAGATCATAGAGGAAGCGGCCAACTTCGACGTCATCATCCTCGCAGGTACTCAACGATGGCGCCGAGAACCACACCCAGAACAGCGTCGAATTCAGGGAGCCAGAGTGTATGACGCAGGCTGGAGGACGGGAACACTCACTAATCGCAGCACGGGCATGATGATATCGCTCCAGGGCAAACTAAGAGGGGCGCAGGTGACCAGTGTTCTGGAACCTCCAGGAGAACTCTGCGGCAGAGGCCTCGCACTACAACTCGTACAGTACGACACCCAGATCACGATCGTCGGATACTATTGCCCGCCGCAGCCCAAGACCACAGCAGACCGCAAGCAGTACTTCGCGACGGTGGCGAGATTATTCAAATGGATGGATGAGGTAGCAACCAAACGCCCCAGGGGCAGCTTACTCTTCGTGGCAGGGGACCTCAACGACGGCATAGGCATCACGTGCAAGAACGAGCACCCGAAGAGCGACTCGCTCGGAGCGGGCAGGGCGAAGGAAAAACTACCAGGCGGAGCGGGACACAAAGCCAGACAGTACGCGGAGAGACACGGACTGACAGTCACCAACACGACGGGCTCATGGAGACCCACATACTTCGGGGAAACGACGGCCAGCTGCATTGACTACATCATGATGCCGACGACACTGGCCAACAGCATCATCTCTC